AGACTGTTTGACCGGAACAAATTGTCATGCTGTCTACACTGCTGAGCATTATTTTCACATTCAAATCTGACAAAGAGTGAAGGATTAATATATGTAAGGCCAAGGGCTTCAAAATGTCATTGCCGTATAAACAAACTTGAATGGGGGCTGGAATGTTGTAATTACGCCTACTTCCTCACTGACCTTAATGGCTTATGCCAAACCGCGGATATTGATAAGATTTATACTTGTTATGACTTGGACAAAGATTTCAAGCTTGCACACGGCAAAAACGAATCGTCTGAATTGTAACCTTGCGTGTACTATAAGCCTCAAAATGCCATTTTCTTCAATATAGTTTTCTCTTTGATAGCGGCAGAGAAATGCACAATTGTGAACCAGTGATTTGATGTTTATCTGAACACCAATTTCTCCGGTGTTACCTTATGCGCTATAAATTAATTTTACATCGGGACTAGAAGAAGGAAATATTATACCAGAGCTAGGAAGAACATACTAAAAGTAATATAATTGCAACGATTAGTTTCAAATTACTCCTACTAATTATAGCTACTACAGCAATCTTTAATCGCTCCAAATTGAGTGTATTTTGCGATTTTGGACGAGAATGAATGCAACTAAAGAAGCGTTCCGAAAATTGTTGGTCAGCTCATTTCCTAAACTTGCATTTTGAAGGGACTGCTCTGATCAGTTCCTCAAAATGTTTCTCAAGAAATTTGAAACTTCTTTATCACAATAAACCAATCATATTTGAGCCAATATGACTATTGACCAATTAAATCAAACGAACGGTCACATGGTTCACAACGGAAAATTATATGTATTGATGGATGTTTCAATGTTTTGATTCAAGTGAAGAGACCGGAAAGATAGATCTCAAAATACATCTTCGTCGTATGCATCATAAAAATAACTGAAAACGTGTTGCAACAGATCAAATTCATTAAAACTGAAACGCCTAGCATGTATGGACGGGAAATTGAGGGCAAACCTTTAAATCTTGGTGCAAACCTTTAAATCGTGATACTGATACCGTTCCTTCTCCGGCTTCTCGGAAAGTTATGCAAGAACCTGGGTTTACCAGGAAGAGTATGAACGTGGTTTCCTTGGAATCACAAGCAGATGCTTCCCAAGCGAAACAAGCTCGATATTTCGAAGGAATATCAAACTCTCCCGCAAGATTTTGATTTCTGTGAAATTGCAAAGCGCCCAATATAATAGCTAAAATTGCGAATACAAGTGTGTAGAAATATGTAAGCAATAAACTGAATCGAATCATTGAAACTTCCCTCAATAAATTGAGACTTCCGTTGCGGGTCATGTAACCGCTGCTTTCATTTTAATTGGTCATATCAGCTCATATGTATTTTAAGGAACTTCTCAACAATTTTCGGAACGCTTCTATTCAAGTATCTTGAATTTAAAATCAGGCCTCAGTCTACACCCTGATCCGCCAATGCTTCCATTGGCACGACTGTAATGCGAAGGGCTCGCTCAAAATGCACTTAAATTTGGAGCGATTATATAAAGTTTCGTTGTCGCTATAATTGTTAGCACGGCCGGAAGTGTGTAGCAAAATTAGTTACACATTTCCACATGCGATACAAAAATATACAAATGTTGCCATACTGCGGTTAGGTTTTCCGCATTTTAGAAAATTTCGCAAATAAGATTTGCAATTATATTAATTTTAGTATGTTCTTAGCTTCTTAGCTCTGGTAAAACATTTCGTTCTTCATTTTGGCGCCAGATCTAAAATTATTAGTCTATAGCGCATAAGTCAACACCGCAGAAATTGGTGTTTATAAAGTCTTAACCCGAAAATCTGATCACTGGTTCACAAGTATGCATTTCTGTATCGCTATCAAAGAGAAAACGATACTGAATAACTTTAAAAAGTTCAATTTTTCTTCTGAATATGCATTCTGCAATCTTTTGACAGCACATTTGCTTTGTAGCTATGTCTAATGGCCATTTTGTGGTTAATTCAAAGTACTTGTTTTTGCTATGTGCAAATCTTCAAATATTTTGTCCAAGATCGATTTTGTTGGGTATTTATAAATCTTAACAAGTTTGAAGCCTAAGTATTGAGACTGAATGCAGCGATCGAGAAGTCTTACCAATTTCCGCGGTGTCGCATAAGGTCCATTAAGGTCAGCGAGGAAGTTGGCGTAACAACACTCCAGCCTCGCCCACTAAAGTTTTTTTATACGGCAGTGACATTTTGAAGAGCCTTACTTATGTTAACCCTTCCCGCTGAGAGTGTGGTCGTTATTTCTAGTGTTTTTGTCAGATCTCAGTGAAGTCAGCCTGACAGTTTGTTCCGTTCAACCAGCCTAACAATTTTTGCTCTCGTCGCATATGGCTGATAGCCAAGTCGGTTCTACGGATTATGTCGGCTACAGCTCATATACGACTCGAGCTCGTAGTATAATTGTTAAATAGAAGCAAAGCACATTTCAGCAAAACAAACGCGAAGACTGGTCAGCATATTAAAACATGTAAGAATGAACCAAACGCAATAAAGTTAACATTTAAATGCGGAAAGAAAGTGATCAAAGATTTTCGATATCCTTGGAAATGACGATATTCGATATTCTGGGAAAGAAATTCAATCTTAAATTATTGTTGCAAGATGTAGCTATCTCAAGCTGATCACTGTATATAATTTACCCAAATATTTATATTAGCTGTTCCTGTGATAACTTTCAGCTATCGCGTTATTTTTCAATCATGATATATGGCACGTCGATGCTCGGCTTTTACGCAACATAATAACTTTACACATAAATCACGAACAATTATACCAATTGAAGCACTGTATTCTAAGAATCTTAGGTGAGCTGCCAGAATTGTAACTTTATCTCTTGCTAAATGTTTAACTAATGTTGTTACACACTTCGCGACTAAAGCAACTTTATAATCGCTCCAAATTTAGTGCATTATGAGCAAGTTGCTATGTGCTTTAATAGCAATGTTATTGGCTTTAAATTTCTAAACAATATTTGAAATAAAAATCCTCCAATGTGATTGCAAGTTAAAGCTGCAGTAGTAATTTATTCAGCTTTATATACGCTAGATCCGCCACTGAATAGAAGCTCTTCGAAAATTGTTGATCATGCAGTTCGCTTTCTAAGTTGAAGGATTTGTTCTGATCAGTTCCTCAAAATGTTCCTCATTCTCTGACGCAATAAAGCAAGCGCGAGCATATTCTTTAATTACGGAGTCGTTGCTTAGCAGCATCAATTATTTTCATATGAAAAAGCACGAGAGAAGTTAAGAAAGATTTTTTCCTCGTAAAAATGTCTTTCGAAAGCGAAAGACGTAGATTTTTGTACGGTCCACACCGAGAGACTGCAGCAAATCGATTTAAACAGTTTATGATGACGACATCGGTCTTTCCGCAAAACATCTTGGATAAAGAAAGGCAAATGGAAACAACAAATTTAACATGTTTCAGCAAAAAGGTAGATGACGTTTTGTTGTCAATGGAGTTGGTTTTGTAGGACTCAATGTAAGACTAATTTGAAATAACCTCGAGCTCTGCAGACCGCGAGAAATGATAATATGATTGGGCTATTCTCTAAGATAAAAACCTTACACGATACGACTAACACGATAATATGGGATGAACAACAACAAAGCTGTCTTAATGGACAAGCTTTGGCTTTCAGCGATTCGATTCTATATGAATGATGGCGGCGGAATATTATCAGTGCACGTCGCAGGTGCAACATTTTAATGTATAATTTGAACCGTTCCAGATGAAATGTAACAAATGATAAAATGAAAACCGCATATACGCTCATTTGGGCGTATTTCCGTAATTCATGGGCTGAAATGTATTTAGCAATATTACAGCGGAAGTAAGGAAAAGTTTCGTTTTTATTTTATATCACAACAAGACGCCTGTTCTGGCGTTAACTCTGGCGTGCCGACCATGTGCCGTTCTATATAAAGTTTCTGAACATAAACAATGCACTTCATTCTAATTTAGATGCCTTGCGAACCTAAATGTTGTTTGATCGCGACATTCAGAAGCACAACGTACTTTAATAGATCTAGAAGTTCAATTTGTCAAAAATGTAAATAAGCCGCAAAATACGTTCATTTTCAATTCGCGCTTACATTAAATCTTCAATCCTGTGCAAACTGCGACGTGTAAACGCGCCCATACACGACCACATCTTGTTAAACGGCGAAATAGCAGCGATATTATTAAAATAACCCCCCCCCCCAAAAAAAAACCAAAACCAACTCTGTCGCTGACGCTGGAGTAATTATATACCGCTTTTGCTTTGATAAAAAGGTCCACGTCTGAGAATTTATATTGGCTGTTTGTATTTTCAGTCAGTTGAACTGGACAGAGAGACTGCAAAGTTAAGCACAGAAATACAGGTGAGCTTTTAGGTTTTGAAAACGCCCTCTTGAGCCTGAGTTGAACTGTGTTGAAGCTCATTTGTTCCACCTTATATCAATGCTTCCTCACCACTGGAGGTGAGTAATTTAGTACACTGTTAATTTTGAGGTGCTAAAATAGCACCAGCGTAGGTGCCAAATCAACACATTGCAGTGGTGTTAAATAGAAAGTGCTATTTTGACACCAATTTCGGTGCTAATTTAACACCACCAAATCGGACATTACGCTAAAAGTGCCAATATGACACCTTATAATTTCAGCACCTTTGCAAGGTGCTGAAATAGCACCTATTTCGCAGACGGAAAGTGCTAAAATAACGCCAGATTGAGGGTTAAAGTATGGGGTGTCAAAATAACACTAAATGGCGGTAGAGAATTTTCGACTTTATTACAAAGTCATCTTCAGACAGAATGGATAGGGAAAGAGCGGTTATTTAAGTTATTGGAAAATAAATCTGTATTTTCGAATCAATGTTTTAGAACAGGAAATTCCTGTGACTCCTGTGCGTTTTCGCACAACTATTCATCTGAGTGATCTGACGACATGGAAATTCGGCTTGTTCCTATGATAGTACATGATACGAAAAAACCAATAGAGACGAATACTAGACAAATGGTACATCGATAGTGATGCATTGTCCTTTTCATTTCATCAAACTGTGTTATTCCGTGCTATATTTTCGGACTGCTTATGTATTGATTGCTACAAAGTATTTATTTCGCAATCGCCTGATATGTATGTCCATATAAGGAACAAAATATAACACGTGATCAGCGCCTGTATGCAAATTGCCAAATTTTGAGCGCGTCGTTTGAAAACTCTTTTGAATCGTATTTCATACTGCCGTGTTAAAGACGTTTTGAGCGTATTTCTTAACTATTTTGGTACTTCTAAATATGCTGAACAGCAACGGACTCACATAAGGAAATATTAAGACAATTGGCTATGATATTATCTCAGAAATATCTTGGTAAGTTGAATTGAATTGAATTTGATCGAGTACGGAGGTCCACGTTCGCTCAAACGGCCAAATCGCCAAACAAACAAATGTGTGTTATTTATTATTATAGAGAAGCCAAATGAATTCTACTTATAATACTGCGATGATCTCTTTAGCAATCTGGGTCAAAGAAAATATCATTGCAATAATAGGTATCTATTCATGTTTATTTTACCGTGATTTTATGAAGCATCTGCGCTAGGCTCTTATATTGATGATTTGATGTTTAACGATATTTTATCCTATATTAGCAGTTGACAATTTGTGTCCTATTTGATACATTTGATGTTAGAGAATGTTTTTTGTTTCATGGAATATATGTGCCTATATAATATGTCTTTTGATAACATTATTGAGACATAAAATCTCCTACAGGTTACCTGAAAGTACTATCTAATAGCCTGCTGAAAAATTTGAATTCAACTTGTATTCTAACAAATACTGTCAGTCATTCAATTGCCCAGCCATTGATTGTGTTCTATAGTGAGGTTGAATTGTGGACTGATACATTTATCAACTATAAATAAATCTACAATACCTATGATTAATTATAATTCTTGTCTATTTTAAGTTTTCACCAAGATTGAATGAAGGCCTCAAATGTGGCAGATTAAGGGGAAACTGTAATTCTAATGATATGACAAGGGTATGAAGGGATATTTACTGTCAACAATGAAAGTGTATACAATTAATGTATCCAACCATGGAAGAAAAATAAAATATTTCATCTATGAAATTTAGAAATATCCCTTCCTTGCTGACTCAATTGTGGTTGTGGAACAGTAAGTGATAACCTTGTTGTTGTAATCTTTATGATTATCTGTGTTTGCCAAACTTGGTTTCTGTCGACCATCTTAGATTTTGTATTTTGTGTGGTTTGTATTTTGAAAATATTCCTGAAAATCCTAATCCTGATTTTAAAATGTTCCTGAACTAGAGTATAGTTGAATAGTTGGGAGTAGGAAATTGAATCTGGTTGTAGGCATGCTATCAAAAAATACAGTATAACACCTCTATTATACGTATATACCCTTTATTAAATGGATCTGACTTGTTAAACATTCATTCTGATACAGGGTTCATGGACCATAACAAGGCCAAGGGTAGAAACAATTTTGAAGAATATCCTGCACTTCAGCTTATTACAGAGGTAAGTTTGCTTTTAGTTTACAGCATTCATGTTGATAGAAGGTACCTGTTGGATTGATGTCAAGTGCTCTATTTCAACACTTTGCCATAATTCTTGTTAACAAACAATCCAAACAGATAATTGACTGTCAAATTTCTTTGTTCGACATAATACCCTACCCCTAACCCTAAGTTGACAAAACTCTGTGGGCTGATTTTGTTTTTTAGACACTTTTAAAGTCCTCTTTAAAAATATTTGTTATTTATTATACGTTGTTGATTCCATAGATCAGGACCCAAGGCTAATTCGTTCAGAAGACCTTTCAGATGTTCAAACTTTGATGATTGCGTGGAGGGGCAAATGTTAACTTATCAAAGAACAGACTCAACTTCATTTTATATACTAAACATGGAGTACATTGCTGGTGTGGCAAATGTGTGTGCATTCTTGGAAACTGCTCTCGTCGGGAAGCCTTAGGACAAAAACTTTTGAAGGACGTTAAGTACCGTAAACATTTTAAAAATTCTTGTAGCTACGTAGATTTTCCAGTCACAGCATATGAAGAAATAAATATTTTTTAATCGCATTTGGTCTACTTCGTATGATTATAGCTTATGCTATTTAGTCGCTCCATTGCTAGCGCTAAAAGTGCAAAAACTAATCCACACAAACTTCAGGTGTTAGATTAACACCAAAAGTAGGCGTCAAACTAGCACCAAAGATCGTGCTAATTTGACACCTTATTTCGCGGTGTCAATTTAGCACCCGATATGGTGTTATTCTGTACCTTTTTATTTGACACCTTTTTTGGTGTCAATATGACACCGCAAAATTAACAGTGTATGAACGTACAATAACAGGACCTTATATAAAGGGGCACGACTAACCGATGATTCGTAAACATGCAGTTATTATCACTATTTTAATTCTTACTAATTTCGGGATGTTCTTTCCATCTGTACGGACGAAAATTGCTAGTTGTAAATTTAGTTTAATAAGGGAATGGTCCATTCAAGAATATTAACGTTTTTAATCTATGCATGCTGTTATACCAAACAACGTGGGAAATTTTTAAGCCAATGAAAAAAGCATTATATATCTGGTGGATTTAACTATAGTCAGCTTTAATACCACCGTCCCTTGCTGAATTAAACATTTTTTTACTTTGCTATCAAGTTAATATAGTCAACTTTTTAATCTCCCATCCTTTTAGCGAAAGGCGAACTTTAAGTTTGGCACGGACGAGAAATATCCTTTGATATCAACGAAAGCGTTTGAGTTCACTGAAAATCTTTTGCATCCGGTGAAACGTATTGTGTATGATTTACGCGGTACGAATATTCCTGTAAGTCAAATATCTTTCATTATACGTAAAAAAAGGAAACGCAAGGAATGCCACGAAGGGATCGCGAAGAATAGATTTATAGTTCACCAACAGAATTTCAAATAAACGTTTCTAATTCGCATGTTTCTCAACGTAAAGTGTCTAGAATATCAGTTCACCATATTTGCATGCCGGCAAATAACGTATACTGTATATGCATCGATTTTCACAAGGGAGACAAGTCAGATCGCTATACAAGGAGCGTGTCCTTAAAAAACGGAACCCGAGTAGACAATTATTTGTGTGAGTTCCGTTTTTCAAAGTGAAAAGTCAAAATACTTTATTCACCGAGGGCAAATAAAGCACCATTCTGGTAAACTCTGGCCCTTTGTTTATTCATCCGACAGTGCATTTGACTGCTTTTCTTCCCAGTTTATTTAATTAATAACTTTATTTCCAGGACTTCTCTCCGTCGTGTGTTCAAGGCCAAGTTGACACCAATCGCAGTTCTGTGTATAGCTCCAGTTACCAAACTCCTAAGGTAAATATTTTTTTTCCTTTTACACAATTTTACGTCCAAGTATCATCAGTCATGGATGTCATGTTCCGACCAATTTACCCGATATGATTACCAGATATCTACGATTGCTATTTCGACGAATAGAGAGTGCTTGGGGCTACATTTTAATCACTGATTGCAAGTAACGAAATCAGCCTTTTCAAAAGTCGGTTTCAAAATCCTGTTGCGACCATTTCGCGGTTTTGTTTTATGGCGTACAACCGCTGAACCTTAGCCTATTGGGGCCTAAAATGTAATTTTGTTAAAGGGCCTAATAGTTCTCAATCGAGTAGAAAAAGTAGTCTTATGTGAAATGGTATTTTAATCATGTGGTGAAAAATTAATTGCTTTCATATTTTTATACCATAGAGTTGCTTCAAAGCACTTGGCAAGAGCAGGCAACATTTAAAAGATCAAACGGAAGATATGAGATCAACCCATTTTGCTCTTGGATGTGAAAAACGAGGGTTTGTATTATCACCTTACAGTAATAGCAAAATCAGTATATACCTAAACGACTGTTCATTAACGTTAGGTTTCTGCCGATACTGTAATATTATAGAAAGCATGTTGATTGTGAAGACGACAACTACTCACGTAGTTGTATAAACATCGACCATACACAAACCAGAAGACATGATAAACTTTTAATATTCTGTCTGCTGGATTGTCTAGGCATCGACACACCTAAATTACGGCATCAACAGTATTTTTTATGAATGCATCAGTTTATGTAGCTCAACTGTTTTGTTCTTTAGGAAATACTCAGAGACCGCTCATTCGTACAATGACAGGATCCGTGATCTGCCAAATGCACCCAACGAACCATACATAGTCGGGCCTGCGTCGGTATTTTGCAAGGGTGATTGGAATATGAGTATTCAGGGTAACACATACTGCTCATCTGTAAGTCATGATAACTTTGGAGGCACGAAAGAAAAAAGGTGAAGATTGTGTCTTTTTAATTTCAGTACTATAAGTTGTTATTTATAATCTTTTGGCGTGTTTTTTACTTTACATATTATTATTTAATTTCATTTAGGTAATATGGGGCAAAACGTGACACTTAAGACTTTAAACGTCCATAAAAACGCCGCAAACACATGTAGATGTTTTTTTACGTTTAACATTTCAAATAAACTTAATTCTACTAAACGAGGCAAAATATTTAATATTGGTTAAGTATTCTGGTATTTATACATAAAAACTACAGGCTCTTGCCCCGGTGGTTTGGGGGGAATATGGCACAGTATAATAAACTAAAATTATATCTATAAAGTTATGATCTACTTCAATAATGCTAATTTTAAAACACTTAAAAGGTTCATAAAAAATTTAAAAATCAAGTGAAAATTACATGCACAGGTCACACGTTGCCTTCGTTGGTCTGACAAGAGAGCAACATTCTTCGTGTAGCCATTTATTGCACTCTGTACACTGAATCCAGTCTTCTCCTGGCAATGAGTGGGACCAATACCATCATACATTGGACATTGGCCATCTTCTGACAAGTGGAAGTAGGTGTACTCTTGGCCTTCATTGGTTTCTTTGCTTTCTTTTCTTTCTTTTCTTTAGGACGAATCTTCCGCTTACCTTTCTTATTTTTCTCAGCTGAAGCGATGGCCTCGATAAGTGATTTTTACACACCATAATGTAACCATAAGTGTAAATTACCAAATACACTCAGAAAAATATGATTTGATAATTGAAATCACCAAAAATATTCAATGAAACAAACATGGTCTTGTCGATATAATTACACAAATAAATGTGAGGAGGGAGGACAGAAAGTATATTGAATTCATATAAAAAACCAAAGGCAAATCCAGGAAATATATACACAGTGGAGATACCCCCCCCCCGGTCTATTTGCTAATCACATAAACATATAATATTTGTAAACTGACATTGTGATTCTAAAGTAAATAAAACATACTATAAACATAAACTTATAAAATAGCCTGAGTGTTTCGTTTTGCCGTCCCCACGCAAATGGAGTGATTTCAGACGCCAATAATTATACCAAAATATAACATTCAGATGAAAAAAAATACACTCAGATTATAAAAAGGCCAAGTGTTGTTACATACGAAACTAGTCTGCTTCATTTCTTAGCTGCAACCTCTTAGATAGAGCAGAAACTATATAAATGTACTGTGTTATAACAACGTAAAAACATCGCTTTTTTCGCTTGAAAAGTGCTATAAAACTCTAAACTTGTTGTTTCACTTCAAAAAACGTGAAAGATGAGCCTCCAATACTTTCCAGTTAAGAAGGACCGAAATACATCATGTAATAACGATTTTTAAAATCTGTTGCATCTTGATATTATGAGATTATCTAATTGTCGAATCACTGTTTGCTTGAGTTGTACCACACGAGTCTCTTTGAATTAAAATATAAGTGAAATAAAGAGCTAATGTAATGTCTCGTGTGTTTGTCGCACGAATTGGCGCACGGTTAATTGAGGGGGCCATAAATATTAATATATTCTGCGATGACTGGCTAATTTCTTTTGAATACAATTTCAATTTCAAAAGAAACCAGCCTAGCATAACAGAATGTATGAGTATGCCCCCCTCAATGTTCGATTGACGCCCATGGTTGCACATTGTTGTCTCGTGTATTTTTGGTATTTTTAGTAAATTTCTCGCACAACCTTTGGTCTAATTCTAAAGAATTATATGAAACGTTTAATATGTGGCTCAATTTTCATTTTTACAGTGACGCTCCATGTAGATCCGAGGAGGATAGAACTAATAGACGTGAGTGTTAATAGGGTACACTAAAGGAAGGAGGCCGTTTTAGCTGTCTTAATATAAAAATTACAGTAATTTATTACTGGGCAAAATTTCTTAAACAATATTTAATATTGCTACATCCACTATAGTTTAACTTAACATGCATGGTATATTCAGTCCTTATATTTTTTGTTTCAGGGACCGTTGATGGACATTCCACAAATTTCAAGGTAAAGTTGGTTGTTCTTCTTATAAGTTATATTCAGATCTTTAAGTTTGTGATACTTATTTATAAAATACTCAGGTAAGATTTACAGTGATGAAATATCTATCAGTCAACTACCGCTCATAATTCCCATCGGC